GATGATAAATGTCGGACCAATCACAAACCGGGGAGAAGGTGGCCAGACTCTTTAGACTTATGCCCGTATTCATAGTTACGCCTGGTTTATGCTTCGGTCTTAACCCTAAAATCCTAAAATTCAGCCAATGAAATACAGATTTCTGTTAGGACCAATTAAGACTGGTAGCCCTATTGGCTGAATTTTAAGATTTTAGGATTAAGACCGAAGCATAAACCAAGCATAAAGAAATCGTAAGATTGGATTCGCTACTGGCCTTACATGATTGGCCAATTCGCTTACTGATTATGTCTTACGACCTTACGTTTTTGTATGTGCCATGGGCTTTATAGTACTGAATGCACCCAATGACATATCATAAAACGCGGGAGTTCCAACATATCCGACAGACGAAAGATCAAAATCAAGATGATTAAGATGTAAATAATAAATTGATATTAATACTCGAATGAATTAATATTAATATTCTGCATTCCTGAATTTGGGATTTCTGTCCAGTAGAATTTCCAATTCAGAAAAATTTTGAGGTTAGTTCATTATTTTGATATAAACGTAATTTGATAATAATATATAATATTTTTATAAATGAATTTGGATTATATTCAAAAGTAAATGCAAAATCTTTTTTAGATGGCACACTTATCACAATTGGTTTCTCTTGGATTTCAAAACGCCCGACAAACTCTAGTATCCTGTAATAATAATAACTTGGGTTTGTATGTCAATATTACTTTATTAATATAATCTTGTGGTAAAATTGAATATACTCGGATAATCAAATCTGTCGAAAACAAACTTTGCAAAGTGTCTATTACAAATTTTGTTGATAGAATACATCAGCAGAAAAATAGTTATAAATACAAAAAGAATTTGTTAACAGAACAAGAATACTTTCTATTTGATGATACAAGTTGACACAAATGTCATTCTATTTTTGTTATTCAGAATGATGTTTCTCTTTGCCATTTAAAGCCTTGTATCTATGATGCTAGGAATCGGTCTGAATTGATTAATCACATTGGTCATGTGATTGTTAAATGACCGTATAAAACTAAAAACAATTATAATTGTTAAATGTGATTTGAACATATTACAATTATTTATGATAACATGTATTTATTCGAGTGTTATTTGTTAATTTTTTTTCTGTCTTATCATCTTCGATATCTTGGAGCAATTTCTAGCGTCATGGACACAAGGCTCAAATATCAATCGCCCTATAATTGCTTGAATGTAGAAATGAAGCATCTCTTTTTAAATAAAATATATTATTTAAACCATAGCTGGGATTTAGTTGCATATTTCGGCCGATTTTCAGCTTGGTTCCTGCCGATCGGCATTTAGGCTGCGTGCGGCTTTGTGAAGTAAAAGCCAGCGGCACACGATGCTTGTTTTCTTACTGGATTGCTAGCTAGAATAAGTTCTTACCACTGTATTGGCTACGATGGCAAGATTCTAATGTAGCTAGGAATCCAGCAGGAAAACAAGTATCGTATGTCGCAGGCTTAAGAGACAGGCTGCAGCAAGTTGAAAATCGACTGAAATGTGCAACTAAAACCAGCTCTGATTTAAACAGTTGATTGACAAAATGACTGATTCTGATTGAAGATTTTGCTTATTTACATATTAAGACTAATGAAATTATTTCTTTTATTTAGTGAAAGTATGTGTCAGACATGCTTCAAAGAAAGGTGGTACTAGCACCAGCAATAGGGGTGGCCATAGTAGACCAAAACACAGAGGATGGAAAATACAGGATGGTGGTTACACGTACGCGGGTAGGGCATTAGTTACACAGCGAACACCCAGATTCCATCCAGGTCTTAATGTAAGAGTTAATTACTGTGCCTTTAATATTAACAATTTTTTATATCATTTTATATATTTTTTTTATTATATAGGTTGGTTTTGCAAGAAATGGATCTTTATTTGCTATAGAACCAGGCAAAGTGGTAGTAACTTGTGAGAAAGTTGATCTCAATTGGGATCACCCTTGTGTTAAACGCTACTATGCTGGTCGTGAAAATCAAGTTATATATAAGAAACACTTTAATATTATTCCTAATCCCCAGCATAATAGATTCAAATTAATAGACATAATCTAAATATATATGTATAGGAAACATGTAAAAATAATTCTTTGAATGTCTTAAAATCTCAATGTTTAGTAAATATATTGTAATATTGTTGACTATAAATGTGGATATATCATATAAAATTGGTTATTCTAATCTCTACTAACAGTTTATAATAGAAGCTTCTAAGTTGAAATATAATTAGAATGAATTTTTTTAAACCTGTAATGCATGTTTCACAATTTTATGAGACACATACATTGCATGTAGATATCCATAAAAATCACATCTCGAAAAAAAAAAACGGAAACATCTATGTCAATAAAATATAAATATTTTTAAATAAAATAATGTTATATCAGCTGTTTTCTAATGCACTACATTCTGTCCACTGAAAAGATTGATATTTTACTACATCTTCTTCTTCATGATACGTAGCAAACACCAATGTTTTCCTAACATGACAACTGAGTCTGCACTGAGCAACAACATCTGTGATAGGTATCTCTTCGTCCCCGCGTTTACATTGTATGATATATTGTGAATGAAACATTATTGGATCACCTGCGAACAAAAAGATTTATTATATAAATAAGTTTGCATGTCAACTAACACACAATTGAAAAGCACAGGGAACAGTTAGAAATACCAGAATACACGGTTTTGGATAGGTTGAACTCTATTATTCTTTTTTCCTATTGTCAGTGCTTTTCAATTATACCTCAGGCTTTAGAACTATAGCGATATAAAAAGGAACAAATTGTACCTGGATATACTAGAAAGTCACCACCAAATTTCTCTCCACTGGTAATATAATATTGCCTCTCCCAAAGATCTTTATATACCTTATACTTAAGTTGCTGATCAGATGTAATCGGATATTTCCATTCTACTATTTTTACATCATCTTTATTAGACCATGGATATGCTAATATACAAGTGAATGATCAGGTCATGAACAAATGTATGATTGAATTACTAAATGTATAATTAAATTTTTTGTACCTGTATGTATTTGAACGAGTGCATCACTTTTTTTTAGTTTGGGCAATTTAGCCAATTCTTCTTCAAGCAAACTTTCAGTATCGATTTCAATATTATCCAAGGCTTCCTGCATTTTCTTATCCAATGGTTTCTTCATATTCTTTTTGCTTGTATGCAAGCCTAACATCTTGCGTTTTTTTCCGTCTATAATCTTGTCCATCATAGAGATAATCTAAAGGAAACATTTATCATATACCACTCTATTATAAAATCCTTATAGTCCTTTAAATGTAAATATCTATACAACTACCTGTTTCTTTCTGTTGTCTTTTAAACAGTTTCCTTGCTCCAGGAACAGTTTATCTCTGTACTCTACAAATCTTTGACTTAATGATTCATCTGGCTGTGTCTTTAGGCTCGTACATTCTACCAGGCAAGCGATTTTCTTTTCAAGCAATAGAGTAACTTCTTCTGGCAATAAAAGCAATGGGAGACCTAAAAATATTTCTTGTCTAGTTAATTTTGGGAAAGAACCCACTAATTCGCCGATTATCCTGTGATCCCGCCGAAGCTTCAACCAATCTATAATAAAAACAGACATCAAATTAAATAAATTATAATAGATGATATATGTGTTATTTCGTGAAGAAATAAGATAAACAACATCCAGCACATTCATGATTCCTTCAATTTATAATCAGTACAGTTATGTTTTAGAGAAAAAATGTACTCTTATTATTATCAGAATATCTGTGATTCATTTGTGAATCGATAAGTGTTCTTGTCTGAAAGGCGTTCTCACAATTAATTCATTATTTACATTTTTATTCTTCAATCTCCCAATAACAGCTTATTTTGAGTTTTGTTTTTTTTTAAATCAATTTCTATTTTTCTATCCACTGGAATATCATTCTCCACTTGAGGCTTCTTAAGTCTGATCTTGTAACTTTCTCTCTCTCTCTGCACACTATTATATTTCTTAAACAAATATATCCAAAATTATATACAGAAAATAGAGTAATAGATATTTACTATAGAGGAATAGGTATTTAATCTAAACTTAAAATCCCTCTTTAAAATCATTCACAAAAATATCGATAATCTTGATTCCGCAAAAACAAAAGGAACAAGAATTGTCGCAGCAACAAGGAGAAACAGGCAAGGAGAAAAAAACTTGACCACAAGGAACAAACCAATAGTATTCATGAGGAATCTCGCGTAATTCGAATAAAAGCGAATGATTGAATGAAAACCCGACGAACACGCAGCCCAAGGCGATGTCACGGAATCGTTCGTCCCTTAAGTCGAACGTGGCCATTGGCCGATTCTTCCATGCGTCCCTCGCGCTGGCACGCGCGATTGGTCGACCGCTGCGTACACGCGTGCCGTGCACACACACTCTCGCGAGGACCCTTCGGACGGGTTTTTAACCTCCGCAGACGCGATGTGCACTGCGTGTAAGGGCAGTATTGCGGTCTATCGCTTCCCCGAACAATAAGCTTCGCGGAAAGGTGGTGTAGGAAGGGCGGCGGGAGGCGGGAGTGTGAGGCGACCGTCGGACATCTGTCACTGTGCGAGCAGTGTGCCAGCCAGCGAGTCAGCCGGTTTCCCCGTTTCAGTCCGAGTCCCCCGAAAAACCGCGACACACTGTCATGGCACCCGCTTTTGTGATTTTTTGAGACGCAACGCACGGCCGCGCGACACCGCACGCAAACACGACACGGCACGGCACCGTGCGCGCACTCACGCAAGCTCGCACCCCCGCAATCGTCGTGCACGACGATTTCTAGACGGATTAGCGGAAACCCACCCTCTTCCCTCGTGCCACACGGTGAGTGCGGATTTTCGTCTGGCCCAGTCTGGCCGGCCCAGCCTTGTTTACCTGCCGCGCGCGTGCAACGGCGGTTACGGTGTAATCCTAGGGCGAGCCCTTCGGCACGGAGAAGCGCGCTCGAATCTCGTACGAATTCGCTTCCGGGATATCTGCTCCTCGGATCACGCGAGAAATGAATGTGGACCTTCCGTGAATTCTCGTAGACATCGCAGGCGATCCCTAACGAGAAATTAACGCTTTAGATTTGTTGGATTTATGCGATTGCCGCCACACTTGTCTTGCGTCTCTTATTGAATATAGATTATGTAAATTAAGGACGGAATTTCGTATTAAGTATATCGCGTGTGTATTAATTCTCTATATATTTATTATATTTGTATTTATTGTATTTTTAATTGTGAACTATGGGTGTTGTATGTCTTGAGAGTCGCTGACTGAAATTACTATTCATATTTCTCATTTTATTAATAACGTCAGTGTAACATATTGTTACACATATATGGAATTTCAGGACTCAATATAATGAAGTATTTAAATATGATATAATAGGTTGAACATTGTTGAATAATTAGAGTCTGTAGTGACGCTAATGACGTTTACGTATCTTCTTGTAGATAATAAATCATGAGCTCAGGTAGACCAATAAAATGTGTAGTGGTAGGAGATGGAACAGTAGGAAAGACCTGCATGTTGATATCGTATACGACAGACAGTTTTCCTGGGGAGTATGTACCTACTGTGTAAGTATATCCGTATTTATATGTTATTGAGATTGTATCTCTGTTCTCTTTGCTGAGAAATCTTCTGCTTCTAGATAACTCATCAAAGGGATACTTTATAGCATAGTTTTTGCCTTAGTTTCTCTTTCTTAGACCAATCAAATGGAGTGGCTAATAATAGTAACAGAGCATAAGATACCTAACTGCTATGTACAGGAAGTAATTCATTTCCAGTCATCTTTTGGTTACTTCCTGTCCTTTAGATTCTGACAAATCTATTTTTGTTGAGCTCCATTTCATTAAGCAATATCTTTATTGGTTCACATGGCTCATTTCAGTTAAGATATAAGCAGTGAATAAAATTTCTTTTTATTTTTAACTGATGTTGAAACGTTGAGTAAAATGTCTAATAAATAGTGATGAACAAATTAAAAGCAAATTGAAAAATGTAACATTGAATATATGTTAAATCTCTAATGTTTTGTCTGGATTATATTTAATAGGTTCGACAACTATTCTGCACCAATGGTTGTCGATGGTATTCCAGTTAGTCTAGGGCTATGGGACACAGCAGGGCAGGAAGACTATGACAGATTGCGTCCTCTCTCCTATCCTCAGACAGATGTATTTCTCATTTGTTTCTCAGTAACGAGCCCTTCATCGTTCGAAAATGTTACCAGTAAATGGTACCCTGAAATAAAACACCACTGCCCAGATGCACCAATGATACTCGTTGGAACTAAAATAGACTTACGAGATGACCGTGAAACGCTTACTGCCTTAGCTGAACAGGGCCTTAGTGCTATTAAGCGTGAGCAGGGACAAAAGTTGGCAAACAAGGTATATAGAAACAAATTGTTATCTACTTTGTATGTATATATATTTCTTTTTATATCTATTTCTATATCTATTTCTATATCTATTTCTATATCTTTTTATTCCGAATAATTTAATATTAATATAACGCGATGTTTGTTATAGATTCGTGCGGTGAAATATATGGAGTGTTCTGCTCTCACGCAGCGTGGATTGAAGCAGGTATTCGACGAGGCAGTGCGCGCCGTTTTAAGACCTGAACCGCAAAAACGTCGACAAAGAAGATGCATTATGTTATAAACGACGGAAGGAATTGAAGGGATTCATAGGTATACACGTATAATAAAGCAACAGATCAAAATGAATTTGATCATGCAAAGAAAAAATATGAATGTTTTAAAGAGAAGATGAATAGTACATGCATTTTAACGAATTATTCTTTGGCAGCTATAAAATATTATCATATTATGGAAAGAGTACAATTTAAAACTTCCTGGTCTCAACGTGAGTCGTGATGTTACTTCACGACCAGAAAGTTTAGACAACGAGAAAGTAAGAAGAAAAAAGAAGGATAGAATAAATATTTAGCAGCATTTGCAGGGGAGGAAGTTTACAAGTTACAAGCTTGCAGATGTCTTTCTTTAAACTTGCATTTACATATATTTGCATAATGATAAAAGGATATGTGACCATAGTAACGTACAGTCAATAGTTTAGTGGAAAACCGCTCATAACATTTTTTTTTTTTTTCTATAAGAGAATCTCTGTTAATTAATATTGCAGTCCTGCAAATCGAATACAGTGTAAACGTGCTGTGATGATTAAAAGCATTAAGTACCGAAGCTTTACTTATCAGGGCTGCCAGATTGTCAACTTTTTTACATTTACTACAATAGTAGGAACATTGATTTTAGCATATATGAATCGAGATAGCTGTCATAACAATCATATGCTGAAAAGTTTTACAAGATGTAAAACTAGCATTATAGAATTATTTAAACATGCAGTGCCATAGCAACAAAAAATCAAATTTTACAAGTACTTTTAATCAATCAGTTTTACACAACATATATTTTACTAAGAAATACGGAGATTTTAAAAAAAATGTGATTAGAAAAATTAGAATGCATAATGGTTCTTTAGAAGCAACATGTTTGTCTTTCCATTTTTTTTTCGGGCATTTGAGATTTTTATTTTTATTAATACTTCCAATAAGAAATGTATAGTATGCATACAGAATACTGCCATATGGCGAATTCGGCACACATGCACTGACTCCGTTCTAATGCTGCCCTGACATGGTGCGAGTGCAGAACTACTTTAGTGCTATGCCAAATTGCACTGTTAGAAACGTCAGTGCAACATTTTTTGAACTCGTCAGTTCATTCGGTTGATCCGAATATAAATTCATTACTACACTGGGTCAGTTTTCATTTACCGAATACGATAATCTTAACGCACTGATACAGTGCGCACAAGCCGAATGCGTGGCACTGAAAAAGTTCACACTCAGTGCGCACTAGTGCGGTCTGTCGAATTCGCTAATAAATTAACACGAAAATTTCATAGTATTCCTAATGTTATTGGAGAGAGAAAAATCAATAATCTTGTGTAATAATTACACAATTGAATTTGATAGTGATGCACACGAAACATTTGTTATTTAGAATTGTAACATGTCTGTGTGTTAAAAAGAGTAATAAACCGTTGTAACGGATGTAACGAAGTAGTGCAGCGAAAAACCAGGATTTGAAAAAAATTAAGTTTGGTGTTTGTCCTACATTACTAAAAATCTCATTGACTTGAATTTTTGACCATTTTATGGATTCGTATTTTGCCTCGGTAGAGTTGAAGTCTTTGTATCTATTGCCGAAAATGGAGTTTGAACAAGTTATTTTTTAGAAATTTTGCAGACAGACGAAGGGACGGACGATCGGACCAACACTGAAATTATAAAGTAGTTACGCTGCGCTACCTAAAAACGTATTGTGTATGTGCATTAATATTTATTTTATTTTGATAAATTAAAAATGGAAAATATCTTAATATGATTTTGTATGTGTATTGCAGGAGTTCAATATAATTTTCTATTTTATTAATGTATAATGTTTTCTGTTTGTAACGGGGTTTTAATATTATACAAGTTTTTGCATTGATGCAATTTGATTTATTAATATTATTCGAATTCACGTAATCTGAATATTCTTTATAAAAATAATAATCAAAAGAAATGGGTAACAGTTGATAATAACACAAAATGCTGATAACAAGTACAGCAATGCAAAGTCCACCTAAATTGAAATATATAAATATAGCACAATGTATTTTCTTAAATACCATAGTATATCTTACTCTCTTCCATTTATTTGTATGAAATTTGTTTACATAAAAATTACGGAAAAACTAGTACGATGATTTAGGAAGATAGATATCTTGTACAAATAAGTATTGCTATAAAGTTAAGCTCATATCATTGTCCCTTAATTCATTATCTTATTAATCGATTAATTGCGATTGTACTTTTTTTAAATAGATTTTAAATAGGTTTTTTCTATTTATGTTTTGCTAAAATAGTCGGGTTTTATCGATACAGATATAAATGCTCTCTAAAAATTCAATGATAAACCAATAAAATGGATATTATCCTTGTGATCATACTATTTTTTTATATTTAAAAACTTAGGGTGTAGAAAAGATAGGACCTTTGTGCCATATGTTTTCCATTTGTACATTAAATATCAAACATGAAATTAAACTTTACATTTGAAACAAATTTCCAAATAATTTATAATATTTCGAGATTGAATCGACAGAAAAACATTTAATATCAGAATGACTGAGAATGGACAATTACTTAAAAAAATAATTTTACATCTTATTTTTAAAAGAAAATAAATAATTTCATTGCTATTATAATTTCTATCATTAATATTAATTAGTTTGCAAAAACAAATTTTACAGTTGCATAAAAAAGCTTAGCGATCAGTGATCGTTTCAGCTGTTCTAGTCTCAAAATGCTATAAGAGAAGCAAAAGGCATATTACAGCTTATGTGTACATAATGTAGCATAGAAGCATACTCGAAATTTTTGTCAAGTCTACGTTTTTTAAGACGAATTTTGTATTTAATTTACTCTTGAAATCTTTATGCGCCAATAGGTCTTATCATGAAATCATTTTATTAATTGCTGCAGCTAATGTCTGTCTTTTGTTTGATTTGTTTGTGTGACGCATATGAAATAAAATATAATTGCTAAGTAATTACATATATAATTATTTATACATATAGTAATTATATATAATTATTTAGCAGTAAAATATATATTTATATATCTACTTTCAAACATTACGAAAATAAATTGCTAGAATATCCTCTAAATTACAAGTATACGTCTTAAATCTAGCATCTTATCTTCATTTATTGCAATTTAAGATAGTTTAAATTTTTTATATGTATGTGTATACTCTTGCATATGTATAATAATGCATTAGTTAACCACAATAATATACTACAATTATGTATTATAATACATAATTATGTATTATAATGCATAAATTGCATTTTTTGTAAGTAGTGCACTTATCTTACAAGTTTCCAGGTACTTACTGTACGCGTTTGTTCTTTCATGTTTCAAAATTGATTATCAGCAATGATGCATCAGTATGTATCATTTTTATTTCGATTTTGTATGTATCTTTTGTACGAGTCATTTATAATATCATTTATAATTTTAGGTCATTGAAATGATTGAATAAATTTAATTATAGAATTTGTATATTGAAACAGTAACAATAATATTACTAACAGGATGGGTACATTACAGTATATCTAATACCTATATTTCCTAATGATAAGCTTTAATTTGGGCATGATGTAATTTAAATTACACTACTTACAACTTTTGCATTTAACAGAGATCGTAGAAATGATGCGAATTACTTTCTCATCTCTCCTCTTTTTAACGAAATCATCGAGGGATTGCTATGAACCAAAGTTATATATTACAATTTAAGATAATATCTATGTTTTTTATTATGGACTATTGCACATAAGTATAAAAAGAACGAATGTATGAAATGTAAAGATATTCTAGTCATCACGAATCTGCTTCTAACTTTTATTTGTATACGTGAATAATGCTCTCAGATTGCATGTAAACAGAATATATTCCTTAAATGAAGCAATTTAGCGTGTGAATAAGCGAAACAGGAAATGAACACAGAAAGAAAAGAGGATATGAAAGTAAAGATGCAACTTAATACTGTCAATTTAGGTAGAATGCAAGAAAACCAAACGATGAGAGTAGAAATTCTGTAGAAATTACAAATATATGTACTAGGATATATAACTTTAATTATGAGTAATTTATAAACATTTGTCTATTTTCGTATATATAACAAAATTCGTTATTTATATACTAACAGGACAGCATAAGAGAGCGTCCCATCACTATTAGAAGAGTTTTTTAAATCTATTAATTTACAAATTTACAACAATGAGATACCTCACATTAATTTTGTAAATTTACAATAATGAGATACCTCACATTAATTTTGTAAATTTACTTTACAAAAGAATATATGTTTCTACAACTGCATGTATATTTTTTATGCACTCTTTTGCTGTCGACCTGATAGCGTATTGGTAAAATAGTGGCCTCAAAATTAATTTCTATTATCTCGTTTTCCTTGTGGAAAAAAGTTCATTAACAATGACGATTGCAATGTAACATGACTACATAAACGCATATTCTATATGGCACTAGGAAGCATTTATTTTTTATTTACATGTATTTTGAAAACAACTTTTTCAAATAAATGATGCAATAAAATTACGAGATAGCATAGTTTATACTGTTCTAAGTTACATATATCTATTTTGTTATTCTTTAAGAAATTCTTCAAACATTTTTTTCTTATTTTAATTTGAAATTACTATGTTTTATTAATATTTCTGTTTTATATATAAAGTTTACTTTTATGTACAAATTATAGAACATTTTAATAATACTAAGTCTAGAAATTAGAAAAATGATCATGTTCGTTTATTTAATTTGTATTTAAATTGTTAATATGTTTATTTTTCATCTATATCTTCCATTATTATTGTGAAAGAGATACACAATTTTAGTTCTATACCTTGAATTTTTTTTCAATAATTTTCTTGCGATAAAAAATTTTTACGATGTCTCTTTCCAACTCATTTAAATCAAATATTTATTAATATTCGACGGAAATATTAGAAATATTTGTTTAAAAATTGTTTTTATCAGTATTAGGCGAGAAAATACACCCAAATAGATCATAATAATTTCAAATTCATAAAAACTCAAGCAATTCTTATTTCTCTAAAATCGTGAATTTCAAGTTTCTGTGATCCGAAAATCAATAACGACGAATGATTATTTATAATAAAAAAACATCACAAATTGTCTTTGTCGCGCATTATAGCACATTAAACAAGAATTCATTATGCATGAAATTAGCAATTAAATGTAAAAGCATATAGATGTTATAATTTGATTTAATTTAATGTAAACAATTAAATATTTAATAATATTTTCACGTTATTTAACGGAATATACATGTAGTGTTTCATTGCCAAAGTTGATTATATTGCCATTATATTTAAATACTTTCTATAAAGCAACTTTTTCAATGTACTAATCTAGAGTATGAGTGAATTTACTAGAGATCATCCTTTGCACACGTTCTGTATATTTGCGCACGTGGGATCGAAATAGTACTGGGCATCTCAGCGTTGCTAGTCAGCCCTGGATCTGCCACGTGTTAGATGAAGACGGTGGCCCACCTGATTCTATCCATCTTCGTCCGTTTCGTGTGTATGTACAGTGCAGTGGATTAATTCGCTGGGTCATAGTAGTTGTCTGACTTATCGACCCCATTTAAATCACATTGGGTCGATAAATAAGATTGTTACTACGACTCAGCGAATTGATGTACTGTACTATACACGCGTGGAGGGAGTTAAGCGTGTGCTGAGGACGTCGGCACGTCGGTAGACATCGGAAACAAGCAAAGACAAGTGGAGACAAGGCAGGACGAGCCGTGGCAAGCCGAGGGGTGACCGGTGCGGGGTGCGTTCGTGTGTATTCAACATCGTCTGTCGTCGTCCGTGCTATAGCACGTCGGTCGGTGGGTGGTACGTACATACATACGTGCATAAGCGAAGTGGTGTAGAACGTAGGGCGTAGAGCGACTGTATGTGAAGGGGGCGAACGCTGCGTCGCGGATACCCTCTCGCACGCTTGCCGGAGCGCTCGTCATCGCCATGGCTCCGTGCGCGTGGTCCTTCCGTGGGAACATCAACCGATTCCTCGACATACCGATCCTGCAGTGCTTGATCGTGCTGATCGGCCTTTTCAATCTCTCCCTGTGCCTCTACGAGGACCAAGTCGGCAAATTCGATTGGTAAGTGATCGAAGCAACCTCTAAATAATGCAGAGAGAAGGAGAGAGTGAGAGAGAGAGAGAGAGAGAGAGAGAGAGAGAGAGAGCGCCGTGGGAACATTATCACGAGGACCGATATACCCGGTTTCCTGTATGTCATCCCCGGGGTGCTATGTGGGCGAATTAATCGTTTACGCTGGATTTTTTCAGGAGGCAGAATTACGTCGGAAAAATTAAATTTGCCAGCTTCGATACGGTGTCTACGGCAAAGAAGATTATCGTCGCCACCGAGGAGAACGTTATTGCTGCGCTTAATCTGAAATCAGGTAAATAAAAGTCACAGTGTCTCTTTTTTTTCTTATCTTTTGCATGTTACTTGCACGTGGTGCTTTTCATATTTCCAGTCTCTTTAATTGTCTTTTTATTGCCATTTATATTTGTCCATTTAACGATAATTATAATGATTAAGCACATTTTCGTTCATACTGATATTACAAATTAAACATTATTCCACGGCAAGTATTGTTATGTACTAAGAAATATAATTTATTAAGTCATAAAATTATTAATTATATTTATGATGTAACAGGCCAAATATTATGGAGACGAGTGCTAGAGAAAGGTTATGGCGGACATATCA